GAGGTACCTTTGAACGTAGAGACTCATGGGACTCAAGCATGTGTAGTAATTCAGAGTTGTCGATCTCCAGCAACATGCCGGTGATCTTTCCTGCTAGGTTGGCATGCATGGCCTGAATCAGCGGGAACAGACGCTCCCCTACGGAGAAAAATGAAATTGTGAGTCAGTATAAATTTGCCAAAAAAACAAAACCCTGAACAGCATTTGTTTGTAACTGTCAGTCTCACCCAGCATCTGTTTCTGCTCCTGAGGAGGTGCAGCAGCCAGCATGGAGGCCGTGAGGGGCTCTTGGCCCTGAACGTGCACAGCTGGCTGAGTCTGGAAGGCACAGTTAAGACTTAACGAGGAACAATGTGTCAACATTTGGATGCTTAATGTGGGAGAAGTTAATGCGATACCTGCTGTAAGGCAATAGGTTGCACCACCTGGGGGTTGGGGTTACGGACACCAGTGGCGTATTTGTAAGGAGGCATGGCCCGAGGACCGGGGACTCCAACTGACGGACGAGGACCCATGCTCTGACCACCAGCTAGCAACCACGAGGAAGAAATTACAGTTTTAATAACACGGAAAACATTTGCATAACATCAATATCATTGATGTCAAATTCCAAACCCGTAGTCAACGAATTGATGCTGTTTGTTTGTGAATGCACCTCGTGGGCCTTGTGTGCTGCTGCTAGGACTCATGTGTCTGAGGTTGGCACGGGGCCCCGGCTGACGCAGCGAGCTGGGCATTGCTTGGAAACCCCCTGGAAGTGATGAAAGAACAGATAAAAACAATGTGAGTATGGGCATAATGTTTAATATATCACAGACACGTGCTCCATCGTGGTCCACAGGCTCACCTTGACCTCGTCCACCTTGTTGCTGCCATCGGGGATTTGGTCGCATTTGAGCGATCTGATTGGGTGCATAGTATGTAGTCCTATTCTGAGCCTGATGAATGCAAGAAAGTCAAATGTGTCATCAATACAAACTTATTATTTTGGGTCCTTGGAGACAATCAGAACAACCCTGACAGCACCATACTCTCTCCATGTTGAGCCCAGCCTCAGGCTGTAGTAGCTAGTCCTCATAAATCAACTCTTTCCCCCATAAAAACGACATTCGGGGACACCCCAGCACCCTCAATGATCAGTTTTGACACATCAGTATATATCAATAAAAATGCGGTGGGACGACCATTAGAATAGTTTGAGTTTTTCCAAGGATAGCTTCATAGCCAGAGACCACCCTCACTAACCTCTGATGCACACCCAGTCATTCTGTTCTTCAAGCAGGCCTGAAATATGACAGAAACCACCCTGAACATGCATGCGTTCCTACTTGTAGGCTTTCAAGGGGAGAAGAATTAAGTTGCTGCTGCTTCTGCAATGCACTTTGCAACCGATCTCCACTTTGCATGGCATTACTGCCTGCTCTGTCCTGTAACAGGTGTTGCTGCTGCTCATCCAGCTTCGGTCTTTTCTTCGTTTTTGCAAAAGAAGTCATCGTTTAACCAAGTGGTCATGACTGAAATCACTTTTTTGAGCTTTTTCACAATAACACCTGCACTACAGCTCGAAACAAAAATAGTAAAGTTGAACAAAGAAGGTGAAAAGCATCTGTGCATTTGTTAGACACAGTAATACAATCCGTTTTAAAATGCACATCAAGCCTGAATTTGATTCTCACACCTGCGGCACAGCTGGCATGAAGTATCCACTAGTGGGCTGGAACTGATTAATGATGGCATTAGCTGGCATGGCTCTCATGCCAGCTATCCGCTGCATGTACTGGTTGGTGAGATGGGCTTTGCGCTCCTCTTTGCGCTGAGCAAGAGCCACGTAGAGAGGTTTAGAGCCAACAATACGTCCGTTCATTTCAGTCACAGCCTTGGTAGCCTCTTCAGGGGAGGAAAAGCAGACAAAGCCAAAGCCCTTGGAGCGCCCCTCCTCTAGCATCACCTAAAACACAGACAGCGGAGGTAACTTATGTGTTGAAGTCTCTTATTTATTCAGTGTATTGAGCCATTTTTACCTTAGCGCTTGTAATTGAGCCAAATGGAGAGAACTCCTTGCGCAGTTTCTCATCATCTATTGTGTCATCCAAGTTTTTAATATAAAGATTAACTCCCTGAAACAAAAGGTACGATTTATCCAGAACCATCAGCTTACTT